GGAAGGAACTTCGAGTCCAAAGTTTTCCAGGAGATGTGCAAGACACTTGGCATCGAAAAGACTCACACGACAGCTCTCCATCCGCAATCTGATGGGATGGTAGAGCGATTCAACAGAACCCTAGAACAACATCTGTCTAAGGTTACTGATGACCGACAAGACGACTGGGACACCCATATCCCCATGTTCCTCATGTCATACAGAGGATCCGTTCATAGCACCACAGGATATGCCCCAGCGAAGATGTTATTTGGTCGTGAGCTTCGTCTACCATGTGACCTGTTATTTGGGATTCCGAAAGATACGCCAGTGTCTTCAACTGAATATGTCACCAATCTCCGAAGACGATTGGAGAATGCTCATGTATTGGCCCGCAGAAACATCAAGACCAACAGTGACCTGATGAAAACAAGGTATGACAGACGGGCCAATACGTCGGGGTTCCATGAGAATGATCTAGTGTGGCTCTATAACCCACAGAGACGAAAAGGCAGATCCCCGAAACTCCAAAGAGACTGGGAAGGTCCATACCGTGTCGTAAAAAGAATAAACGACGTGGTCTACCGGATACAGAAAAGTCCACGGTCCAAACTGAAGGTTGTCCACGTTGATCGACTCCATCAGTACCGTGGTGAAATAGAATCTGTTCGGGACGAACAGATCTAAGAAGGGGGCAGTGTTATGACCCTATTGGCGGCGCAAAAGGGTTAACTATAGGCTCAGTTGACACACACGAGAATCACTCAGGTCAGCGGGGGCCATGGACAAGGGACAGTACTACGATTACATGATTACACGCAAATATGACCAATGTTATGGTCATGTGATCGAAAGCCTGCGTGTATGAGTGACACAGTGGATATAAAAAAGGGGGAGTTCAAGACCGGAGAGCGTCGAGACCAGCACAGTTAGTCGCCATGAAATCGGTCCTGGTTGAGTCCTGATGTGTTGATGTACAAGTCCAGAAAGAGAGACAGCAGAGTTCTTTAAGTTGGTGATGTACAGAGTGACATTTTAGTTGTTGATGTGTTTGACGCCAATTGTCTAGTATTGGCTGTTATCTACTTATTCACTCATTATTAAAGTACCAGATTATTTGGAGCCTTGTTGTCAAGTTCTTGATGTGTTGATGTATGGTGTTGTGTTTAGCAGTGTTTACAGAAGGTCAGAAAGGAGGGAGAATCGTAACAATATGAAAATAAGCAAAATATAAACAAAAACTTTTGAAACAAAAAAAAATATATCGGGGGAATAACTGCAAAATCACTGCCATATTTCTCAATGCTTTAAAGCATAAATTGCCTTCTCTGTATAAAATAAAATAAATTAATTGTGCTATGAATTGTTTAAATAAGTAATGTTTTGATTGATTCATGTATTGTGATCGACTTAGAATAATTTTGCGAAATGTCCCCTTTATCCGAGAACGGAAATGTCGTGCTCAAGATTTTTGTCAGAACGACAGATGCTGTGAGTTAAAATAAGTGCTGTGTTCGTCCTGCCTAAACTTTGAAGTAATGTTTATATTTCAAAGTCGTCACACAATATTGAATTAAAGTTGTTTGTGTTTATTTGTTGTAACGTGAAGTGATCTGTTTTAAATCTTTTTTACAAAGCTTATATTTATATCAACTCCCTCTGTCTGTCTGGTCAAAAGTTTGTAGACATTATTTTTCCCTCACCCATTCTCGAATCAAAATGAAGTTTCGCACAAAACAAGAATCAATAAAAATATTTATCTAATTGGTTAACTAAATATTGGTAATTAATTATTTTGTTTGGTATCTCGAACAATGGAAAGAAATTGTCTTTGACTGATACATTGGTATAAGTTGATTTAGTCCACTTTATACTTTGTAGAGAGAATAGTATGAAACTAAAAATGTCATTTGCACTTTCCTGGCACAGTGATTTTGGCTTGAAGAGGTTAAGGCTTAGTCCTACTTTTTAAATGCGTTCTCTTTATATATATATTTATATATTATATATGTATATATATTGAAACAGCAATCACCTTCATCCAACTGGTCCACACAAGTCATTGGATCATAGCATACTGAAAAATAGAAAACAATTGGCAAAATATTTCGAATAGCACAGCTTTAATGTTGTTAGATCTACTACCAATTTAATTACATGACAACTTTTAATTAAAAGCTTTGTCTTCTCAAAACTTATTTTTAATTGATTTTTGTTTCAGAGTTAGGAAAAAAAAATTTATATATATTCAGTTGGTCAACTTTATAATTTTGGAAGTGAATTTCAAAACAAATACATTTTGAAAGAGATTCAAGGCTAATCATTGACGTAACAACAAATATCTATTGTAACGATTCTCTCGATACAGGCTCTCTGCAAACTGCTCCACATGAAGTTTCTTAGTTACAATGTAGTTATACTAATACAACTTTATACTAATACAACTTTATACTGATACAACTTTATACTGATACAACTTTATACTGATACAACTTTAAACTGATACAACTTTATACTGATACAGCTCTATACTGATACAACTTTATACTGATACAACTTTATACTGATACAACTTTATACTGATACAACTTTATAATGATACAACTTTATACTGATACAGATGCACTTTCAATCTCTAACTTGACTCTAAACAACTCGTGACCGTTTGATTGTCAAAAGAGCTCTAGGCATGTAAGCCTGCTTGAACAAACCGTTCTGTCTGGAAGAGATCCAAGTCAATGCCTATATAAAGCATTGCTATTTCCGATGTATCTGGCACTCCGAGCGCATGACCTAGAATGCATGGCCGAAGGCCGAGTACACCGGGAACCTCCGCCATATTCCTATGTTGTACCATACTAACCGTGCAGGACTCGCCATTAGTGTAACAGTCCCTTGAGGAACTGTGCATGGATTATCGACAGGGACGTGGAAGCTCTCTTTGAACTTCGCACCGTGCAAAGGGAAAGCTCTCGCATTCCTTTGGACACTTCCACAGGAGTTTTGTTTCGCTATTCATTTAGCCTAATCACTTCCTCAAATGATCGTTTCCACCCGAGGGCCACGTTGAGGCAGAATAGCTTACCTGCAAATGCTTAAAGACCTGCTTAAGGTATTCGACTAACTAACTTTCCATCAATGTATACCTTTTTAAATCGTCTTTTCTAGAATCCTAGAAACTTCTATTTTACACATTTCTAATTAACTATTACCTTCTAGAAACTGATATTTGAGACTTTTCCCTAACCTCTTTCTCTGATTGGTTCATTAAAATTAACACGTGCTTACTTTGTGAATTACTTTTGACCCTGAAACTTTTCTAAAATGAAGTAGAAGGAGGTTACAGTATCGATCATGACATCCATTATCTCTTGTATAAAATTCCCAAGTAACTCTATATCGTCTGCAAAATCAAGGCCCATTAGTCAATTTGGTTCATGCCATGGAATAACGAATGCAGATTGTTTCCGTTTTTTTTTTGACGTCAATAACTATCAGAAAGAGAAATGGGGATAAGATACAACTTTGTCTCACACCCTTTTCGATGTTGAAAAGGCTCGTTATTCTATCGGCTAGATTTGCTGTGGAGATTTCGCAGAATCTTGACGAATTGTTGACGGATACCATATGCTGTTGATACTATTCAGAGTGATTCGAGATTGGAGCTATTAAACGCTTTTTTAAAATCCACAAAACTTATCAATAGTCTTTGTTGGTATCCCACACTTCAATCGTTGATGATTCGCGGGACAATTATTTCTTAGATTTGCTCCTTCAGAAGTTATTGTGAAACTAGTATCAGAAAACCATTTCCGTGAGGAGCTCTTTAAAAACTTTTAATGAAGGAAAATTGTTCATTTCAGTCATTTTACATGTTTAATCTATAGATTAAGCATTGATAAAATGTCATTGATAAAATGTCATTGATATAATGTCATTGATAAAATGTCATTGAAAAAATGTCATTGATAAAATGTCATTGATATAATGTCATTGATAAAATGTCATTGATAAAATGTCATTGATAAAATGTCATTGATAAAATGTCATTGATAAAATGTCATTGATAAAATGTCATTGATAAAATGTCATTGATAAAATGTCATTGATAAAATGTCATTGATAAAATGTCATTGATAAAATGTCATTGATAAAATGTCATTGATAAAATGTCATTGATAAAATGTCATTGATAAAATGTCATTGATAAAATGTCATTGATAAAATGTCATTGATATAATGTCATTGATAAAATGTCATTGATAAAATGTCATTGATAAAATGTCATTGATAAAATGTCATTGATAAAATGTCATTAATATAATGTCATTGATATAATGTCATTGATATAATGTCATTGATAAAATGTCATTGATAAAATGTCATTGATAAAATGTCATTGATATAATGTCATTGATATAATGTCATTGATAAAATGTCATTGATAAAATGTCATTGATAAAATGTCATTGATAAAATGTCATTGATATAATGTCATTGATATAATGTCATTGATATAATGTCATTGATAAAATGTCATTGATAAAATGTCATTGATAAAATGTCATTGATAAAATGTCATTGATAAAATGTCATTGATAAAATGTCATTGATAAAATGTCATTGATAAAATGCCATTGATATAATGTCATTGATAAAATGTCATTGATATAATGTCATTGATAAAATGTCATTGATAAAATGTCATTGATAAAATGTCATTGATAAAATGTCATTGATAAAATGTCATTGATAAAATTTCATTGATAATTTCATTGATAAAATGTCACAGAACCGACAATCATTTTCCAGTGTAAAAATAAATTAATTAGTTCACTGTATTAGGGTTAAAAGAGTCATGGCCCACTTGGACTTAACGGTAACTCCTCCAGCGCCGTTCTGCGCATAGGGCTGCAGTCTCGTTCCATAGAGATCGGAATTCTAAAGCCTCTTCCTACCTGGTGTCCAAGGATTTTGGGTTTTCCAATAAAGTGTGACGTCATGTAATGTTTTTTTGTTTTTTTCTAAAATGTTTTGTATATTTCAGATGTTCCTTCAGAGTTGAAGATAATTTACCCCCTAGTCCAAGCCTTCCACAGGACGACGTGGCATGGGATAGGGCAGGTTTTGAACCCGGAACCATCGATAAATCCGAACGACGGTTCAGCAAACCACACGACCAGGCAGCCATAATTTTAGATTTGGATGGCCTTGTTTTCGTTTTTATCATTTCGGCTTCCATGTTAAGTCTGACTTTGGTCAATTTGTTTCGTCCACTGACTTTGGTCCACTTGTTTCGTCCACTGACATTGGTCAACTTGTTTCGTCCACTGACTTTGGTAAACTTGTTCCGTCCACTAACTTTGGTCAACTTGTTTCGTCCACTGACATTGGTCAACTTGTTTCTTCCATTGACTCTGGTCAACTAGTTTCGTCCACTGACTTTTGTCAACTTGTTCCGTCCACTGACTTTGGTCAACTTGTTTCGTCCACTGACATTGGTCAACTTGTTTCTTCCATTGACTCTGGTCAACTAGTTTCGTCCACTGACTTTTGTCAACTTTTTTCGTTCACTGACTTTGGTTAACTTGTTTCGTCCACAGACTTGGGTCAACTTGTTTCGTCGATTGACTTTGGTCAACTTGTTTCGTCCACTGACATTGGTCAACTTGTTTCTTCCATTGACTTTGGTCAACTTGTTTCGTCCACTGACATTGGTCAACTTGTTTCTTCCATTGACTTTGGTCAACTTGTTTCGTCCACAGACTTTGGTTAACTTGTTTCGTTCACTGACTTTGGTCAACTTGTTTCGTCCACTGACTTTGGTTAACTTGTTTCGTCCACAGACTTTGGTCAACTTGTTTCGTTCACTGACTTTGGTTAACTTGTTTCGTCCACTGACTTTGGTCAACTTGTTTCGTCCACAGACTTTGGTCAACTTGTTTCGTTCACTGACTTTGGTTAACTTGTTTCGTCCACTGACTTTGGTCAACTTGTTTCGTCCACTGACTTTGGTCAACTTGTTTCGTCCACTGACTTTGGTCAACTTGTTTTATCTAGCATTAGGATATGTCCCCCGATTTTCATATTATTATACGATGTTCGGTCACCAATTCACCAACTGGACGAGTGCTTGTGCGATAAATTACTCTCTGTGATCTCTATGATCTCTATGATCTCTATGATCTCTATGATCTCTATGATCTCGGTATGTTATTCGTAAAATCCTTCTTTGCCATCTTGGTTGAACCACGTTTAATCTCTTTTCCATATTTCTAGTTAAACTTTCATGTCTCGCAAGCGTAGAAAGCCTTTAGGACGAGGACACCTATCAATTGAAGAGGCGGATCATGGTTTCCAGACTGACCCAAGTTTTGAAATTTTCTTTGTGTTTTTATGTGTGATATCCGTTCGCCCCCTTCCTCGATGATATTGTGGCCCCATTCGTCCACTCCACCATCCTAACCCTTTGACTCCCCTTCGTTGCTCCGCACCTACCCCCCCCCCCCTCTCTCTGATTCACTATATTCTAGTTTTCACTGTTCTCTTCTCGTTGTACGAGGCGTTACATCCGAGTTAACTAGCAAGGATGCATGTATGTTGATTTAGAGATGACTCTTCTTCAGCGTTAGTTGTTCGTCTCTCTGTTGGTATGTACAGTTATGACATTGCATACTCAGCACAGTAAAGAAACAAAACCATGTGATAAAGAAGGTGGCAGTTGTCATGACTAAAAACACCTATTTCAACAGATTCAAACGTTTTTGAATCACAATTGTAGAGACTTTTTTTTTTCAGAAATTAACAGATAACATAATAATCATATTAGGACGTAGGAATCATTATATCAGAAAGATAATTGTTCATTAACGCATCATCAATATTTTGGTAAAAATATTCTTAAATGAATGTATTATTCTTTTAGTCACATATATTGGTCTGTTGATAAAAAGGAATAAAACATTTACCGATAATAAATTTGATTTAGTAGTCACAGTTACAATCGCGCATAATTACACTCTTTACACATTTTAAAATTTACTCCACGATTACCTAATCCTTATTATTATTGTTTTGACTATAGGATTGTGTCGTTAGCACTATTCTTATTTTAACTTTGTGTATGTTTATTCCAATGACACCATCACAAACTTTCGCCGAGGATTAATGAATAAATAAAATGTAGAATTTTTAAAAATATATTTTAAAGTGCCGCTATTCAAGTCACACAATCATGGAACTTTCTGGGTAGACAAAGGGTGGGTAGACGCAATTCTTGAAACAGGCTCAAACGATTTCCCTAGAAATCTGATAGTTGATGTTTATAGAAATAGATAATAAGCTCGTTGACCACACTGGGAAAACTTTTTTTTTTGGGAACTTTGAATGTAAAATGTTTTTTTTACATAGATGTCATGAATATACCAATGCACATTTAAATCCAACTTACAGAGTATAACAGAGGTAACAGTTTTATTTAACTCAATGCAGGTAATTGTAAACCAAACCAGTTTAGCCGCATGTAGCCAATGTGGTATATAAAAAAACTGAAAAAAACTGAAAAAACACAACAGATAAAATCATAATTTAGAAAGGTCACATATTTATGAATAAGAATCTCTTTCTTTCAGAATATTAATAATTGGATACAAGGGAAACAGCTCCGTCATCATGACGTAAAAGAGAAAAGCCAATTCTATCCTTTACAAGACAATATCTGTACCATAGACTTATAGATAAGATCTAGAATGGAAACCGGAAATAAATTCTTATCCGCGACTGATCGATTCACAGGCTTATCTATATATAGACTTTTGTACGTAAACTCTTTTTTTCAAGCTCTAAGGGGAGTCGCCCCAATCAATCTTTTCTGTCTTAGAAAAGTAATGATCTTTAGTTTTCAAAGTCTAGAAATAATGCAAAATTATTTCTCGGATATTCACGCAAATATATGAAACAAAGCCATTTCCTGTTTGTTTCCATTAAGATAATGTTTTAAATATCCTAGATCGAAATAATTCATGTTGATTTAAATCATCTTATATACATTTAAATAGATTGATTACCTAGATCTTTCTAGATTATGTATCTACAAATCACAAAATAACTATTATGAGACGAGAGTACACTTATTTTTAATGTTCAATTACTAGATCTAGATTTAAAAATTAAATTATATGTTACATAGGTTAGGGTTGAAAAAAACAACAAGCTTACTCTTTTTAACTACTTTACAAAACAACGCCTTGATCCAACTTTCTAAAAAATTTTCACATTTTCTGTAGTGTTAAAAAATCTCCATGGCCAGTCTAGAGTAGTATATAGAAGTCTGTACATAAATGAAATACAGTTATGTAAAATCAAAGGCTTCCTATTTCAAAGTGTATATTGCAAATGAAGAAAAACCATAAATAAATAAATAATGAATAAGACACAAAAAGACTTTAGTTCAACCGTTATGATTTTCCAAAGCACCAAAAGACAATCATTTAAATTTGGCTTGATAACTAGAAAATATTAGTCGCACAGAAGGTTTTAAGCATGCATTACGTCTGTGAATATTTCATCAAGTCGTTGAATAAATTAATGTTGAAAAACATTTGGCACACCGTCTTCTAAAGTCTATATCACAGATCTATATATATTACTTCTAGAATGAACATGGAGATCACAGATCTATATATATTATATCTAGAATGAACATGGAGACCTTTTAACACTACAAAAAATGTCGTGAAAAACTTTTTTAAAAGTTTAAACAAGGTTTTGTTTTGTAAAGTAATTATAAGAAGTGAAGTTTTTTTTCAACCCTAACCTATGTAACATATAATTTAATGTTTAGATCTAAAACTAGTAATTGAACATCGAAAAAAAGAACACTCTCGTCTCATAATTCTTATTTTGCAATTTTTAGCTATATAAAAACAAAATCAATCTATTTAAATGTACATAAGAGGACTAAAATCAATAGTCGTGAATTATTTCGATCTAGGATTTGGAAACGTTGTCCTATTGGAAACTAACAGGAAATAGCTTTATTGCGAGAATATATAGTTCTGTGATTAATACATAACAATCTATATATATAGGTTTGTGAGTTGATCCATCGCGGGTAAGAAATTGTTTCCGTTTTCCAGTCTAGGTATAATATATATAGGTCTGTGGTCTAGAATCTAGATCTTAAGATCTAGCATAAAAATATTACACAGTTTATTACATGTATACCTTTGCTTAACCATGAGTTCTTATGTATATTTTTCTGGTTAACTTACTTGAACTCGGACATTCCTGGAACCTTGTTGATCGTCCAAGGGCAGAGAGTCTCTTCGAGCCCTATGTTTGAAAAAAAACCTGTTTGGACGCCAAACAGTAAAAAAGAAAAATGTGTGAACACAGTTCTGTTTGATAGAGACCCGAGTCAATGCCTATGTAAAGCATTGCTGTTTCCAATGCCTTTGGCCCCGGACTCATGCTTGACTGAACATGGCCGAAGGCCGAGGACACCGGGAGCCTCCTCCATTTTCCTTCGTTATACCAAGCTAACCGTGGGGGACTCACCATTTATGCAACGGTCCCTTGAGGAACGGCGCATGGATTTGTGACAGGTTTGTGGGAACTCTTTTACAACTTCGCGCCGTGCAATGGGTGGACTCTCGTCTACCCGTGGGCATCCCCACGGGATTCTTGTGTTGCTACTCATTTAGCCTAACCACTTCCTCTAATGGTCGTTTCCACACGAGCGCCACGATGAGGCAGAGTAGCTTTGCTCGTGCATTCGTGGAACCTAAAACCTGGGTGGGTCGGCTCAAAAACCTGTAAATGGATCTCGAACTATATTTGACAGTTGATGTATAGAATTGCTAAAACTCTAGTTTGACCGTTATAATTTTGAAAGTATAAAAATAAATAAGTTTAAATTTGGCTAGAGAACGAGAACATATTTTTCTTGAACGGACGTCATTGGGTATTTTATCATTCAAGAGTTTCAGTAATTCATGTTTAAGAACATTTGGCGCACATTGTTGTTAGTCTAGATCTAAATGACTCTCATTGGTATATTATGAAGTTTAGTAGATCTATACATTCGCTTAACCAGGATTCTTTTCTAAAAGTGAGTTGGGTAAAATATGATCCATTTTTTAAATCTAACATTCATTAGTTAAAAAAAACAACGCTCTTTAATTTATATATATAGATGGTAATTTTTGTAAAAAAAAAGTAATTTTAATGTATTTCTTGCTTATCACTTCAATAATATTTTTGAAAATATTGTTATAACCCTATTGGCAGCGCAAAAGGGTTAACAATAGGCTCAGCTGACACACACGTAAATCACTCAGGTCAGCGGGGCCATGGACAAGGGACAGTACTACGATTATACGATTACACGCAAATATGACCAATGTTATGGTCATGTGATCGAAAGAATGCGTGTACGAGTGACACAGTGTGTCGTATTGGCAGTTCAAGACCGGAGAGCATTGAGAACAGGACTGTTAGACTGCCATGAAGTCGGTCCTGGTCGAGTCCTCAAGTGTTATGTAGGAGTCCAGGAAGAAATAGAGACAGTAGAGTTGTGTACGGTGATGTACAATGTAACATTTTAGTTGTTGACGTGTTGCCAATAGTGTCGAATCGGCTGTCTTCTACTTATTCACTCATTACTAAAGTACCAGATTATTGTGGAGCTCTTGTTGTCAGGTTCTTGATGTGTTGTGTTGCGTTTAGCAGTTTTTACAGAAGGCCTGAGGGGAAAGAATCGTAACAATATAAACAAATAAAATATTTAATATTCCACTATAATTTAACTAATAATTTATAATTTTTCCCTAAACATTCTCACAATTGTACTGAAGCCACAAATACAAGAATTATATCAATTTGTTTCAACTGAATTCACTTTTCAAGTCTTTACTTTACTTTTTACTAAGCTTATATCAACTCACTCTGTCTGTCTGTCTGTTTGTCTGTCTGGTAAAAAGTTTTTTCTCCCACACCCAATCTCGGGTCAAGCTGAAATTTTACACAATCATTTCTGTACCTGGCAACACAAGAATCAAATACAAATTTAAACAATTAGTTTATTAACTATTGGTAGGGTTAGGGTTAGAGTTATTTTGTTTGGGAGGTTTCCGTGCTGTTCTTTGGTGACCAGTTAACGCAGCTCTACTGTTAAGGGAGCTCTTTTTAAAATCCTTATTCCAGAAGCATTATTAGAATCTTATCATTGACGACGTGTTGTCCCGTTTGTGTTGACATTATTAGAGTCTTATCATTGACGACGTGTTGTCCCGTTTGTGTTGACATTATTAGAGTCTTATCATTGACGACGTGTTGTCCCGTTTGTGTTGACATTATTAGAGTCTTATCATTGACGACGTGTTGTCCCGTTTGTGTTGACATTATTAGAGTCTTATCATTGACGACGTGTTGTCCCGTTTGTGTTGACATTATTAGAGTCTTATCATTGACGACGTGTTGTCCCGTTTGTGTTGACATTATTAGAGTCTTATCATTGACGACGTGTTGTCCCGTTTGTGTTGACATTATTAGAGTCTTATCATTGACGACGTGTTGTCCCGTTTGTGTTGACATTATTAGAGTCTTATCATTGACGACGTGTTGTCCCGTTTGTGTTGACATTATTAGAGTCTTATCATTGACGACGTGTTGTCCCGTTTGTGTTGACATTATTAGAGTCTTATCATTGAGACTCAGGGAACTAACTACTGACTGTTACCGTGTTCCATCAATGAGACTAAGGGAACTAACTACTGACTGTTACAGTGTTCCATCAATGAGACTTATCTATCTAGTTCAGTAGTTCCCGAACTTTTTTGACTCGTAGACCCCTACCATGTTTTCTCGTTGTCAACAGACCCCCTGCTTAACTTGCACTTTTTTGCGAATTCATCAACATTTTTAAAAAACTAATTTCTTACTGTAGTGAGATGAAGAATGAAAAAAGTAAGTTAAAGCTACACATTATGTTATAGAGATTTTTTTTATTGATAACATTTAAATTTAAACCAATTAAAATAACAATTAATATGTATTGCTGGAATCACCAAACACACTGGATTTTTTTTTCTGTGTATAGGTTTATCATCATTTGTAATGCACATTTTATATAGGAATTTGTTGTAATATGATGTAGTCCACAAAACATTAATTATTATATTGTTACAAATGAACAGTGATAGGTAGAGGTCAACGTATGACCCCGGCGAGATGACACAGCAGCGAGTGTTCTCTGAAATCTACGCGTATAAACAAAGACAGGATGTGACGTTTCCTCACGTGTTGTTCCAGGGGACAAACAGATCTAAGAAGGGGGCAGTTACTAATGAACAGTGACAGATAGAGGTCAGTACGTGTGACCCCGGCTTGATGACACTGCAGCAGGTGTTCTCTGAAATCTACATGTAAAAACAAAGACAGGATGTGACGTTTCCTCACGTGTTGTTCCAGATGATACTAGCAGTGTTTGTGCAACTTTGGAGGAGCGATTAGGGACTCTATATAAGCCAGAGAGTTATTGTGAAAGTTAGTCGTGAGTGAGTCGTCGTTACTGTTGTCTACTGTGCGAGACAGTAGAAGAGAGATGTGTATGACTCGATGCAAGTTAACTAGGATAGAGATAACTGAAGATGACTACTGTCGTTAAACAGCGAACTACAGTGGACTTGAGCCGTTACAGTCGATACAGTCGATGTAAGACGTGTGCGGCTCTGATTCGGTAGACTTTGAGTACGACATGGTTCAGCTTTGGGAGACCAGGAGCGACACTGGAAAGTGTGTCGTGGGTCTGTTCTGTGAAATACGGCTCGATGCAAGTTGAGAAGAGATGAATAGCAACGAAGTGATAGCCAGATGAATGACATGGAAATCACCAACATCATCCACAAGCTACAAGGTGGCGATACAAAAATAGGTCAACAATATGCCATGCATAATGACATTCTTGTCAGAAAGTGGACAGAAAAAGCATCACTTAATGGAAGCACTGACGAACAGACCCTTAAACTTGTCATACCTTATGTGTTCCGGTCTGAAATATTAAGGCTTGGTCATGACATCCCTATGTCCGGACACTTAGGGATTGACAAAACACGGCGACGCATATACAAACATTTCTACTGGCCAGGCATTAACAGAGAAATAGCTGAGTACTGCAGATCATGTCATGCCTGCCAAATCACAGGAAAGCCTAATCAATCGCCTCCAAAAGCGCCTCTTCAAGAGAATATAACACCAAAAGAACCATTTTCACACATCCTTATGGACTGTGTTGGTTCATTGCCAAGGTCAAAACAAGGGAACCAGTACCTTCTTACCATAATGTGCAAGACTACGCGCTATCCAGAGGCAGTACCATTGAGAAACATCAAGGCAACAACCACTGTGACAGCATTGTCAAAATTTATCACAACGTTCGGGTTGCCAAAGGTCATACAGACCGATCAAGGCACCAATTTTATGTCAGACATCTTCCAACAGGCACTTCGCCAGATGGGAATTAAACACTCGGTTTCAACGGCATATCATCCTGAAAGCCAGGGTGCCATCGAACGCTTTCACCAAACACTTAAAAACATGGTGAGAACGTACGCTGAGACCGAGACGAACACTTGGGATGAAAACATTAACTTCTTATTGTTTGCTCTACGCGATGCCCAGCAAGATTCAACAGGGTTCAGTCCATTTGAACTTGTGTTTGGGCACACAGTACGAAGTCCATTGAATATAATCAAAGAAAACTGGATACCAACTCAGGAGGAAACGAAAGACTTGAGGGTATATGTTAGAAATCTAAGGGACAAACTCTTTAGAATTAATGACTTGGCTTATAGCAATCTTAGAAAAAGCCAAAATAAATCCAAATCTATCTATGACAAGAAGGCCAAACAAAGACAGTTTAAAATAGGAGACAAAGTATTATTGGAAACGGCAACGGAAGGTGATGCCCTTCAGAAAAGGTATGATGGGCCATACGAGGTAGTGGGCATGGAAAGTGAAAGTCAACTACACCCTACATGTCCCTGGTAAGAGAAAAGGAAAAATTCGTTGTCACATAAACAGGTTAAAGAAATTTCAAGAAAGATCCTCAGATCAGGCAACTGTACTAGCTATTGTAAAGAGTTCAGTCCCCATGGGAAAAGAGAACCAGGTATATGCGGATACCGTTCTCGACAAAGAAATCCCTACTGTAAAG